CCTGAATCCCTTGACACCACAGAACAAATCAGCGGAGAGAGAAAGAGAAATGTCAAGAACTCATGTTCAAATGTCAAACTGAACCGACAAACCGTTAATTAGCAACTCAAAGATAAGCCACGCCACAGACACATATCCAACACTGGGGGATACTGAGGGGTTAAACGGGGGGCCAAGTGTGGTGGTTAAAGAGGGGCACAGTCTACACGGTGGAGAGCCACTGACAGCTCACAAAATCAACCAGTTGCGCATATTCGAAAAAAGATCAATGTGAATTGTGAAAGAAGCTGAAGAAATCCAGCAGACGGAGAGCAATTAAATGGCGAGGGGCAAAAGGGAAAGCTCAGGTAAGCTGCAATGCACTTAAAAAAAAAACCTACAAAAACTTTTAAATAAATATAAAATGTAAAATACGATTTAAAAAGTGGTTTAACTATGTTAAAAAAAAACTAAGGAATCGTAAAATAAAATATAAATTACATTTTATAAGATATTTAAATCTAGTCTAAAGACAACCTTCATCTTACATAATAATTATAATTTTAAATTAAAAATTTTGCTTTAGAATTTAGCTACTATTTTTGGAGTGCTTTTAAGAGGAGTGGTAAGACGGGAGGAAACCAAAACGTTTAAATCACCCAAAGGCCGTCGAGCTGTCATGGATTCACGGTTCGGTTTTCAGTTCAGTTCAGATCTGTTCACTTGGGTTTTGGTTTGGATTTTCTTGGTTGGGATTTGAGATTGGGCCTGAGTGGATTTACAGCGCTGCTCAATCCAGCCGTTGTCAATCATAAGTAAGGTCCAGTCTTTCTTTTTTCTATCAAGGAATCCACATTCTAGTATATACCCAAAACGAAGGAGAAGGAAGAAAAGAAAAAAAAAAAAGCGATCTAAGATCTAACAGTCGCGAGCAGAGCGAGTTGAAGTCGCATCTGTCGGATTTGCATTACCGAGTCCGACTTGCCTTGAAATTATGTGAAATTGATCAATTTCAACGTTGCCCGTTCGCCGTGGCCACTTTCCGCGAGCTCTGGGTGCAGAACATTTAATGTAAAATGTCAATCAAAAATCGCACAGAATGGAAAAGCAACTTTGAAAATTTAATTAGAAATGGGTATACGTCTCGTGCATTACGAACGCCATGGGAAAATGGAAAATCTTCTCAATTGAAGCAGCGAGAACCGAACTTAAGAGTTGCAAAAAAATTCATGAAATGTCAGCAGTTTGCACTTTTGTTAAGTTCTGCCCATGGAAAATTTTATGGAGCTGTTTTGAATTAGAATTTTATTTGATTAATGGAAGTTCTTTCTTGAGAACTTTCTTTATTTTAAGATTAAATTGCTTTGGCGAGTGCCGCGACTGTAAGATACCCGTTACTGTCTTATTCAATTTTCAAATAATCATTTTGCGCTAATTAATCACAAATTTTACTCTACAAATATAAGTATAAACTAAAAGTATATAGACATTTGTCAGAATAAAAACATGGAGCACCTTTTCCATGAATTTATATATCCTCCCATATTTCTTAGCTACTTTCCATTGAGACCAACAAACTAACACGGCTTTATAAAGACATAAGTCACAATTTAATGACTATAACTTATTTTCTGTGCTTGAAATGTTCCTTGGAAATTGTAAGAAAAAGCTGTTTAAATAACAATAATAAAAGTTGTAAAAATAATCGTAAAGCAAATGGTGAGAAAAGTGGAATTTTCAAACTGTGGCATTCAAAAGTATGGACCTGGTTTTTATATAGCACTAGACAACAGCTGGTCGGTTTTCATCAAAAAGGGTTCAGTTTTTGTATATTAATTTGTCAACCACTAAAAAAATAAAGTAAAGCCATGAGTGGCGTTATTAATAGGCGGTGGCTTAATGCTAATTTAGTTATGAACACTACACTTTTTTTTATTCATATATCATATTTCTCGTTTGTTTCGAAATGGTTCGTTTTAATGCTTCATTTCTTTGAATTTCATAATTACATCTCTTTGACCGCTCAACGACGGTTGGTAACTGTTTTTGTCATTGCCAGCCGTAGCTTTTCTTGAATGAACTTCAGTTTGGGCCAACTGGTTTATTTTTTTGGTTGTATGGTGTTTTTTTTTTTTTTTTGTGTTTTACTGTCCAAAAGCTCGTCTTCTTGGCTTAATTAATTATTGTTGTATAATTAGTAGTTGGTCGAGGGCATAATAATTCAACAGAAGTCTGAGTGGCTAGCCAGCTGCTAAGCGATTCATTCATGGCTCTTTGCATTTACACACATTTCCGGTACCGGTACCCGGGTACAGTTGGCTATAAAAAGCGAAAAGCGTATACCGATCCGAAACATTGCCCACCATTTGGGAAAGACCGCCCCAAGTTGGCAAAAGGGCGTTGTGGGCAATGTCAATCAATTGGTTCGCCGACTTGGTTGGCTGATTTCTTGGTCCAGATCCCCTCCAATTTCCCCAGCTTCTTCCATTGCTCTGTAGTCTCTGAATCTTGAATCTCGTATCTGGAAGTCAAAATGGCAGCTGACTGACAGACAGATCGAAAACGCTGGTTCAGTTCGGTTCAATTTGGTTGGACCCTGGACGCTCTTAGTTTCTTTCTTTTTTTTTTTAACTCTTTTGGCCTGGCCAACAGCCACGGCAGCAACAACTACCAACTACCGACTTAAATTGTGCCGAGGACTGGTCGCTGAACTGCCTGAATTTAGAGATGGCCCCACGTGACAAATACGGTTTTAAAAAATAATTTAATCCATTGAAACACAATGGTAGGTCTAACATTGTATGTACTAATGATTATGTAAAACATATACATATATATATAATATATAAAATTTCATTCATTGTATAATAATATTTAATTCTAAAAAATGTTTTAAAATGTTCTTGCATTAGTAAATAATCTTGTCTTATGATTACCTAAGCTTCTAAAAATTATCTTAATTTTCTACGATCCCTTAAATACCAAAAGTTTACCCCGTAGAAGTGTCATCTCTAAAAATCGGATCTGCAACTGGAACTGGAAATTGGGTACAGGCAAAGGAGGTGAGGTTGCCACGTTTCTCAACCAGCCAAATCGATTGAACTGCCTTCATTAAACAGAAAACAAAGCAAAAAAGATCTTAAGGTAGACCTGGTCAAACTCTGGCCATCCCTTTCTATCTTAATAACTACTTTCCTGCCGCCAATTTTGTGGCAGAAGTAGGAGCAACCAACAACAGCAGCGGTGATCTCCATCTCCGATTTTTTTTTCTCCTTTTTTTTTCTTTTATCTTTTTTCGATCGCTCCATTAATTTCCATGTTGGCCACAATATGACTTCTGTTCGTTGAAATATATATATATATATATATATATATGTATATATTATAAGCCATGCAAATAATTTGCGCTTGAAGGAGAAGGAGAAACCCTATAGTCGAGAGCTGCGACTACAAGATACCCGTTAATGTTTTATACAACTTTAAAATACTAATTTCGCTGGTAGAAATTCATAAAGCGCCACCTTTTGTTAGAAAAAGCATGATTGCCAACTGATGATGACCTCACAGTACTTGAGAGGACTTATAAATATCATTATTATTATAATATTATGATAAAAATACCTCTTCCATCTGCATTGGCATCCCAAGAATGTGAATACCTGATCCTTCTTTCTAGCTTCATTAGTTACCGAGTAATAGATCTAATAGCTTTTGAATTTTCATCGATTTTAGCTTTTCGTGATTTTTGGCTGTTGGAGTGGGCATGGCAGAATGCTTAATAAACTCGCGCTGCGTATCTCTTATAGTCCCTGACATCTCAGCATTCATACGGACAGACGGTTTAGCGGACGGACAGAAGAACATGGCTTCAACGACTTCCCTATTGATACTGATATATACTTTAAAGGGTCAGAAACGCTTCCTCTACTACCTGTTACATATTTTTTAACGAATCTAATATACCCTACGATGAAGGGGGAAAAAAAATCTGCAACAAATTGGAAGCCAATAATCAAATGTCAGTCAAGGTCTGCCTGACAGCCCCCGCGATCTCTTTTGGTGATTCTGTCAGTTATTTAGTCAGTCTTTCACTCTGTCATTCACTCAGGGCGGTCAGTGAAATCAGTTTTTTGCCGTGGCTCTAACTCAAGGGCTCATTATACAAATATAACACGAAGCTCCCTTTCGACTTTGATTTTGCACTGCTGGAAAATGGTATTTGTAAATCAATTTTAAGGTAAAATTAAATTAACTTCTTATTGTATAAATAATTATATTTCTGATTTAATGTAAGCCATAATTTCCATTATAATAATAATAAACATACAGCTTTTATAATATCTAAAAACTTAAACCCATAAAATCCATTATTTTCTGTTAAAACCTTAAACCCTTTTTTTCAGTGAAAATCTCTGCATCTGGATCTGGGGATACAACTTGTCGGCTTGTTAGATTCGCCTGTCTATTAATTTGAGTGTTTTCCGAGTTCGATTTTGATTTGATTTCTGTTTTGGTGTTACGCTTGCCTTGCCTAATACTTAAATTAGTTTGGCAAATGAATTCTCAGTATTTTTTGAAAAAAAAACGAGATCAAAAAAAAAGAAAAACCAAACAACAAACGAATAATACCGAATTTCTATACCGATGTCCGATATTGTTTATTGGTTTCTCATTACGCTCGTCGCGTATAATTAACAATAAAAAATTTCAAACACATTTTGACACAATTTTAATAGTCAATAAAACTCAGTGGTGTGCATGAAAGACGAGCTGGGGACTTCCAAGCGGAGAACATTACCTGTTCTTGTACTGTACTGTTGTTGACAAATCGATAAACAGCTCAATTAGTATTTTTAAAGCTCAATTGTTAAAAAAACCACTAATGTTACCCCTCGACTGACTGACTGACAACTGCATGGTTATCATAAATCAAACCATAAAAAATATATATCAGGAATTCGGTTCAATAATCGATTTGTATTCGTTCCCTGTCGCGCCGCACAATTATTCAAAATGAGCTGTCAAACGAGTGGAGTTTTATTCCCCTTTCTGTCTCTTGAAATTTATTCACCAACAGTGAAGACACATATTACTTATTCGAAATCACGATAAGTTAATTTCAATCTAATACACGAAGGTGGTTTGAAGTCAAAGAAAATTTACGTAAAATATTAAACTTTAAACTTTTCATTTTATGAAGCCGTATAGAAATCAAAGTTGCCATTGATTTATATTTCTTGTTTTTGACAAAGTCAAACCATAAAAAAACTACTAAATTACTATATTTATATAAATTTTGCAATGGATGCAGATCGAATCCATAAGAGCAGCAGTGATCGGGATTTGGAATTTAGCCAATGTCGACGTAATGGTGTTAATTATGCGAATTTCGCCGAATTCCTAGCGAGTCTCAACGTTAATGATACCGCTTTGGATTCGGTTCAAGGCCTTGGAAGTTTGAGCATAGAGGATTACCTAAAAGCAATGCACTGTGATGGCGAAAAAAAACCTAAGGACGGTGAAAAGTCTCACAAATCGAAAAATATACGAAGGAAATCGATTCAGGAAGTCAATACGCAAAGGCAAATGGATTCCAAATGTTCCAGCAAATCCAAATTGATATCCCAGTATACCGAAAAAATTTGGATGTAAAATTGTGTATTATGCGATGCGAATTTATTTTTAAATTGTCAAGTTATTCATAATCATTGTTATTATTAAAAACGGAAGAAATTTTATAAAGTTTGCTCTTTTTAGATTAAAAGAGTAAAATTTATTTTAAAATAAAAAATAAAACAAGTAGAAAAGCCATAGTCAAGTGCCACGGCTATAAGATACCTGTTACTTTTTTATTCACAAATTTCTTTTGTCATAAAAAGCATGTTAACCAACTGTAAGTGACGTCACTCCCCATGTGAACTGTAGAACCTTATAACCTCAATAAATAGCGAAATAATGTTCCGATTTAAAATTTTTTTAGTAAATAGCAAGAAAACTAGAAATGTCATACAAGGTCAAACGAAGACATAGATTTTAATATTATGTATGCTTAAGATTTTCGCCACAGTTTTCCTTGCTTGCTTTTACCTGTTACATACTTTTCAATGAAAAGTTACTCTACGAGTAACGGATATAAATGTAATTTAATACTTTTCCATTATGTAATAGTTTGTTGGAAATCAATTTTTTTTAAGTTTATTCTTAATAGATTAAAAGCTATTTATATTTGTAGGTTATACTTAACTTTTCTTAAGGTAACCCATATACTTGAGCACCTACCTCGATTAAAACTTATTTCAATAATTCAATCACGTGGAATCGTATCGAATAATTGAATAAGGCATCGTGTCGAGCGACACAAATCTTATTTCAATACGCAGAACGTTTAACGAACGAATCGGGCCTCAAAGACGATCGCCGATGACTGAACGTTCGAGGAAAGGGTTGGCACAAGAGGGTTTAGGTGGGATTTTAGACGGGCCAAAGACGGGGTTAAGGGAACTTGAGACGGAACAGCCAAATGGCAACGTGAGTGATTGTCGCAAAAGCTCAAAGGCGACAACAGCTTTTCGAAATGTACTGATTTTTATTTATTTTATGTTTGAACCGAAACGTTCATGGAATCGCTAATGAAATGCGACTGTTCTTTTTTGTTGTTGGCTTTTTCGTTCATATAGGGAGGAACTCGGGAACCCGATATATCGGTGTTTGGAAATTGCCCCCTCTCCGTCACTGAAATCCCCCTCCGATTGACAATTTGGTGTGGGAAAAATGCGACTGTGGTAACAGGCGTGGCGATCTTCCATTAACATGTTCACCTCGTGGCGATTTCAATCGAATTTTAATTGCCCGAAAGTGGATATAACTGATCGAGGGCTCGATTGCTTCAGATTTTGCGTTTCTTGTAGTTCAATCAATGGTGGGAGTAGTTTTGGCAGGGGATAGGTTTGATAAATTTATAAAACAGCAAAAGCATTTGTTTAGTTAAATTCAGTCATGAGGAAATATTATTGAAATTATTAAATTTCAGACTTGAAACTTAAACTTAACCCTCTAACATAAAAATCTATCTATAAACTTCTATGAATATTTGTCAGCCAAAAATATACATATATTATTAATCTATGCTAATACAATTAGCAATTAAATAAGGGAAACACAAGTAAAAATCTTCTAAAGAACTAAAAAGAGAACACCTGCAGAGATCAAGTAAACTGGGTCGATAACTGACCTACAGAACGTTCAGGAATGCAATCGATTTTAGGGTAAAAAAAAGGTATCTGATTGAATCGATGGTTTCATTCTTCAATAGATTTTTGACATACACATTTGAACGGTTGTGAGTATTATTGCTTTTTCAGACCTTTCACACGCTTTTTAGGCCGTGGGAGAAAAATGCAGTCGTTTCGCCATCGAATCGGTTCGGTTACTGAAAGCCAAAAATTGTGTGTGCAGAGAGTGAACCAGAGAGTTAAACAAATCAATACGAAAACGATGCAAATGGCAAAAGGCATGTCAACAATGCTGCGGAGTAATTGGCAGTGGTCGGCTGATGACGCTCCCTCTGATGTTGATGATTGCGCATCGCTAAAGATCACTGAGGACTTGGAACTGGGACCTCTACCTCTACTTCAAACTCAAAATTGAATCTCTGAACCTGTACCTCTCTCTCTTAATGTGATTGCGATCGCAGGAACTCCTCATCGAGCCGCCAAAGTGCAGCTAAACATCTGGAGCAGGCAGCTCCAAAAGCAGTCGAATCCAGCAGCTCCACCCATCGCCAGCCCTGTGAACACCGATCACTGATCTTTGCCGACGTGACAATACTGAGAGAAAATATATATTTACTTTGCAAATGATTGTCAATTAAAATAAAATATATTTTAATAATATAAGCAAAATCTGTTATCTATTTAATAAATTATTAAAATAATAGATTCAATAGATCTGGCCAAGACTTTTAAATTCTTTCAAAAACTTAAGCACATACTCGTACACCTAATATATAACAAACATTTGGTATCTTGCTAAAAAAAAAAATTCAATAATAAACATATAGATTTTAGTTAAGCGTATTCTTTTTGTGTATTAAGCAGCGTCTTTGATCTGTCACCGCTCGCCAATCGAATCACTGCAGACGAGAGTGGCGGCAGATAAAATTATTGAAATTACATTGGCAAGACGCCGTCGATCAGGCAGAGGTCTATGTTGGAGGATATCGGGGTGAATCAGGGTATCAGGGAATACCAGGGATTGGAATGGGAATTGGTGGTTCCAGGCTAGCTGGAGACAAACAGCTGCAACAAACGCTGCCGCTAAACATGATCGCCAACACTTACAGCGCTGCTGCGCAGGTTGGCAATAATTATCGCTTTTAGTCCCGTACCCGCCTGTCAATGTAATTCGAAAAATGTCGTCAGTGTCGCCCAGTGCCAGGGGTTAGTAGCTCATCATCAGTGGTATACTGGGATACTGGCCACCAGGATCATCTTGATATCACGATAGCACACCCGATTGCAGCACCCAGTGATTTCTCTCATTTGATATCGTGATGCCACTGAATCGCTTGTTTTTAAAATGTAATCATCATTAAAATATGTATGGGTTATATCTCTCGCTCTGGCCAACGGACCTTCAGATGGACTGGTCGGCTTGTAATGACCATACATAGCAATTGGTTCTCACGTTCGAGCCACAAAAAAAAAAAAAAACGAGGAGGGGCAAAAGAAGAAGAGAAACGCGTTGCCAATTTCGCGTAATCGTTTTAACTTCGAGTTAAAGTCGAAGTTGCAGTTCCAGCTGAATCGACTGCTGAAGTTGTCATTGTCATTGTCATCGTCACCTGTGTCTGCATTTCGGATTTTATGGCAGCTGCTCACAGTATCTGGATAACTGAAGAAGCCTCTGGGCGAAGATCGATTGTGATTTCCGGATTATCGTAGTATTTTAGTCATGTTATGCATTTTTATACCCTTAACTCGTAGAGTCAATGGGTATATTGTATTCGTTAAAAATAATTTAATAGTTAGAAGGAAGCGTATTCGACTCTATGAAATATATATATTTTTGATCAATTTTGGGCATCAATGGCGAAGTCGATAAAGCCACGTCCGTCTGTCTGTCCGTATGAACGCTGAGATCTCAGGATTATATAAGAATTTATAATAAAATAAATGATGTTATTAAAAGAATATTTTATTAATATAGATCTTTTTGATCTCTTTCTAAGAATCAGCACAATTTCTACTATTTGGTGAAATAGTAAAGCCATTGCCCTAAACTTTCTGGTAGCTTCGATTTGTATGGTAGCCGAGGTGAGCGGGGGTCATGAGATCGGACCCTTAAAAAGTGGCCACTTCGGTGGCTCTTTTATTATTATTTATTTTTCCGAATGGAGGAGTCTCAAATGTTGCTGTTGTCGTTTATCAAATATGACAAATCTTTGCGCATGCGTGGCCAGCGGCGTCGTCAACGCAGCTATTTATAAACTTGGTAAAACCCCCTTAAACGCGGTTTCTCAAAGCCCGACTCTCTTCCTCATTTATGAGTGTCCGTCTGTCTGACTGTTCCATTCCGTGTTTCTTTTTAATTTGTAATTATTTTCTTTTTTTTTTTGTTTTTTTTTTTTTTGTTGTTTTGCTGCTCCCATCTCATATTATTTTAAACAATTCCGTGGTAGCTGAGTGTATGTTGACTTTTCTCGTATTCCTTTGCATGTCGTTTGAGTTTTTTCGAACTTCATTTGCGCTTCGGTTCGGTGACAAATAAATTAAGTGGCAGCCTCAACCAGAGAGGAAAAAACAAGAGGCAAAAACCAAGAAAATTAAGACTGCTCTGCGGCTCTGCCTAGTGTTACAACAAAAATCAGTCAGCCAGCAGCAAAAATTGAATGATAGAAGAGGAGATACCAAACCTTTTGCAGACATTTTAAAGCATGGACTACAATTGATTAACTAAATCCAAACCAAAATATTAACAAACTTTTTTAATTGATGACTCTAAAATGATGATCACTTAACTAAAGTGTTAATGTTACTTTGCACAGGAAAACTACTTCTAGCTTCAACCTTTAGTTTCTATTGAAACCCACACAGTTCTACCGACAACTCATTCACTCAATCAAAGGACCGATTCTGTCAAGTTAAGGACCAGAATCAGCTGCCACTGTTTTCGGTGGCAAAATACGAAGGTGAATCTTGGCCAACTCGTTTATTAATTTGGCATGTGACAAATTGTGCGTTGGCCAGCAATTACAATTCTGCCTGGGCGACGGACAAGTTTTGAGGACTCGCAATTCACCCATGTTTTTCACTCCCCTCTGGGAAACTTGTCTTTACTTTAGAGCTGATTTCAGAAAATTTCACCGTCAAGACGACACGTACAAAACGGCTTCGATCTCTGGTATTCCAAGGTTTCTGGAACTTCTGGGTAGGATTGAAAAGCAGAGCTGCTGGAGGTGGAGGAGCCTCAGCAGACGACAAGTGGCACTTTGGCGCATTAAGAAAATCTGTACAAGTGTCACTTTGGCGCACAACCACACACAGGAACAGAAGAAACCAGAAGCAAACTTGCCAGGAGGAGAACTGTCAGCTGAAGGAGATCGGTGGAGCTACGGGGAAATAAAGGAGAAATCCCGAATGGAGGTGGGCTGGTAGAATTATAACGCCAACGTTCCGGTCTCCCCAATCCCCCCCAGTCAAATGTGATTCCTCCACAGCAAGGATTATGATGGGCTTGTTTAATCACCACGAAAAAAAAATAAGTACAAAAAACACCATAATACGAATTTGTCCAGTCATCGGCATTATTTAATGAGTTACCAACAGGTTGCCAGCCGAAGCCAAGCGGAAAATCATCCGCTTCAGGAGAAGGCCCTCACCTCCGGTTTATCATCTTCAGTTTGAGCTTGAGGTTCAGGCTCAGGCTCGGATCCGAACTCGAGCCCAGAGATTCATGTTCAGATTCAGCTGAGTCAGCGCCACAAACAGAAGCCAACAGCCAAGTTCGTCAGTCAGTCAAGCGGCCTACGCCCGGAATAAAACTCAGGCTGATTCCAAATCCGAGCCCAAGACCAAATCATAAACCAAGTTCAAGACCAAGCAGAAGAGCACTAGGTAGACTGGTCAAAATATCTAGCTAATCAAAAATATATATTCTGAATAGAATATAATTTTAAACTGTTAGTATTTCTAAAAAAAAAAACAATTAAGTTTAAATCAATTTTACAAAAAAAGCAAGCTTTTATAGAATTTATATTACCCTTAGCGGTGTATAAAGAGTGTTAAACAGTTTTCATTCCAAATGACGCTTATTAAGCCCTTTAAAACTTTCTTTATTTTTCAGTTTGTATAACTGAATACTCAGAACGCCAATACCTTGAATTTTTCTTTTTTTCACGTATGTTTTGATAAAAACGTAATAAACCTGAAATTTAGTTTGCATTTTTTCGATCAGTGCAATCTAAATGTAACTTGTTGGTGACTCTGCATCAGCCTCTGCCAGCACTTGACTAACCCTCTGCTGGCATCGCAGTCGCGTCGCTTCTTTTAATGTCAATTTGACAGACAAACTGTCGACCGTTTGAAGCGTATGCAGCTACCGTCCACCAGAAACCGATTATGATTTGTTTGACGTTGTGCGCTTCTTTTCAACACAACGGGATTGTAGATTTGCTCTAAAATATTAAAGCTTTTCAATAAACAAATGAAAAATACAACATCGATTTTTCAAGATTTTACATTATGTGAGAATGTAAAATCTATAAGACAAATAAATTTATATTTGATAAGATTTAAACGACCAGTTTGAAGTAATATTCAAAACAAGTTTCTCAGTATGTACTAGAATTGGTATTGAAAATATGTACTAAAGAATTATATCAATCTGGAAACTTAAACTTTAGAAATAAATTTCTAAGGATATTCTGGTGATATGCAGTAGGCAGTATGCCTACTGTAGGTTAAACACTTCAGCTGGAGAAGTACTCGAGTGCCACTCCACTTGGTCTTAGGGATTACACTTGTATGATAAACACACACGGATATATACGGAGAGATGTCTGGCGTTGGCATCTACAGCATTCAATAAAGAATGTTTGCGATTTTTATCTTGCGACCGATGCGCGCGCCTCTATTCGAGCTCTCCCACCCCAACGACGATCAGTGATCGGAGATACAAGATACACAGGGCGAGAGGGCCCCCGAATCGCCCGATCCCCAATTCCTATCCCCTTCCCGGAGCACCCCGGAATAACCGCGGAATATCCCCTAAATCCCACACCATATAAATGCCATGCAATCATCACACATATAGCGATCTCCATATGGACGCTTGGCCCCTTGGCTTTATACTCATAATTGATTAAAAAGAAAATTTCCATGGCATTTATGCGTACCACGCCACTCATACACACAATGTCGAGTTGTTGACAGCCTCCGATTGAGTTGCTCCCAGGGGCGGGGTGCACAGCAACAAAATCTTATTTAAATATTGTGTAGTAAAATACAACATTTGGAAATATTGATTTGAATAATTTAACAATGTAGTCAAACGGATTAATGAACACACTAATTAAAGACATTTTATGATGTTTTCAATAATCGCAAACTTTATATTAATTTTTTTTCTAATTTTCTCATAAACATTTAGTGATTTTTCTCACTATGGCAAAAGAGAGTTGGGGACCAATGGTTTGTTTTGTTCTGGAGTTGGCACTGCTGTTTTGCGGTTGCTGGGAGCACGTTCCTTGGAAGTAGTTGTCGAAATGTTTTTATTTGTTATCGATTAATCGCTTGAATCAACAGGCCAATGCTCGTCGCAGTTGTACAGTGGCAGTTGTCCGATTCCGATTATGTTTCCATGATTTAGATTCAGATAATTCAGATATGTATAGCCCCCCCTCAAATAAAGCCCGTGAACGTACATATTTATAACAGATATACAGATACTCAGCTCTTGGAAATGTTGCTGTGTAATTGTTTTGAAGTCTCGGACTCAAAGATTGGTAGCAGACTGGCTGTCAGCCAACTCGGCCTCCAGACCCAGTCCCCATAAACGCAATTCCAACTTCCATGTTCCAGTCGAAAGTCAAAGTCGGGGATTCCGAATCCGAATCCAGCTCACCCAGCAATTTGCGGGCCTGTCAAATCGCTGATTGATCGATTGTTTGCACACGTTTTTGTGATCGCATTTATTGAGTATTTTATTAATTTCAACTGATCGATGAGCTTGCCGCCTGTTACAATTGCCGCTCTTTTTCCTCGATTAACTGCTGGTCTTTTAAATTGCGTGAACTCGAAATAAGTGGGTCTTGAATAGATTTTTGAGTGGGAGTTTTTGGAACACTCACATTTTTGTACAGCAACATTAATTCAAGCACTCACCAACTAAACTTTAAATGTATATCGTTGAATATTAAAATTATGATTTGGAATTTTAAATAATGGAACTCGAAATGGTTAAGTCTATGCAAAGAAAGTCCATAAATAAAAACCTATTAAATTCTGTCTAAGCTGTGGCAGCGCCTTATTATCGGCTGGGTCCTAAGATAGTCAAGTGTGAGATCAGACTGGGATCGGGTTACTTGCGGTATGAAATCTTCGGACAAAGAGGAAACATAAGATTGCTCTGTCTCCAGATCCAGTTCGTCGTTCACATGCTCCACGTAATAATCATCGGAAGGCAGCTGCTCCTCCTCACACACCTCCCATTGTTTTTCAATTCCTTCCAATTCCGAATTAAAAACAATTTTGGCCCTGGGACGCAACCATCTTGTAAAATGTTGTCGAACCGATTTTTTTGGCAATCCACACAGAAGTTTATTCCGCTTCAGATTAGGTTTCTTTTTCATGGAGCATCGTCGAAGTTTATTGTAATCCACTAAAGGTTGATTGAGTTCCACCAACAATTTGGCACTATGTCGGCCATCCATCCAATTATCACAATCCACGTTTTTTTGAGGGGATACCAAAGGTTGGGGTTTATGATGAACGCAAAGAGGTTTTATCATTATGGGAGTGTCGAAATAACGAAGATCGTAGCCCACGGCTCCCTCACATTTGGGTGGTTCCATAAATTCTTTAGCCTTTTCACAAATTTCCGGCAATACGTACTCAAAGATCTTATGGGTTATGTAGGGAGGACTATTTACCCGCAGGGTATTGGGTAGTTGAGAGGCATATGAAACAGGCGGCTTGATGATGTCCGGATAAGGTAATTTGCTCAAATTCATCAAAATATCCCTACCAGTCGTCTTGATATCAAATTTTTCTTTCAAAGTCCAATCACCATATTCCTTTAGGTCCTTCAAAGCAAATTTTGTAGTAGAACTACTTTGTGTTTCTATATCAGAATCGGAATCCGGGAAATAACGCCAGAGGAACGACCAACGCTGAATCGATCGACGTACCTCCTCGGGTGTCAAACAGTAATCACCTGAATGTTCTTGATATTTATTTTTTCGCAAAAACGGCTTTTTTACTTTCTTACAGCGACCCATTTTAAAAAGTTTATTTTTGTATCTAGTTTTTCCTTTGTACTGTTAGTTTTAGGAGTCTTTTAAAGCGACATTTAAGTCATGCCACCTATAATTTTTGTTTTTCGAAGGGAATAAAGTTGTGCTCAGCTTATTACTATTCGTAAAATATGGTATGACATTCTTTATATTAAATAAAAGTTGCTGTATTTATCTGTCATGTTCTATAAGACCTTTCCTCCACAAAAAAGGGCCATTAACAGTACCTCGAAATCGATAGGTATGGAACAAAAAGTGGTCGATAAGATCCTAAAGAAGCTATAGGCCCTATAAGCAAGAAGCTCTTCTCCGAACCGATTGATAGTGTGTGGCTTCCATTGAAAATTGGCTACCGACCTCACTATTTGGGCCAACTAGATCATAGTAAAGATCATTAAGTGCGTGTTGATCGGAGAGCTTAGATACCCAACAGTTAGCTGGAGAACCTTTCGTGGGTAGTGGGTTAAGCTCGAAGGCAACGATGTCGCGCTCCCGAAACCAGCTACAAAAACGCGGAAAAAACGTATTAAATACAAATTTCCTGGTAATAAAAGAGTGAGACAACTGGCCACTGGCTGGCCAAAATAAAGAAATAAATCTTAATGCCCCAAAGGACCAGAAAGAGACACCGAATCGGAATCCAGAGTGACTAATGTACATATACACCGCATACAGTCTTTATTGTTACTTTTTATATATATATATATATATATATATGTATATATATTTAATTTTCTTTGTATCAACGTGTAAAATTTGCTCGGCCTGAAGCCGAAGTCAAGTCGACAAAATTTTTATTGAAAATTGGGATTCGTATTCGGATTTAACCGCATCATCAACTGCAGTCCCCATCTTTTTCGTGTTTCTGATACCTAAGATGCATATCGCTGATCTCTGAGGCAATAAAAATATATATGAGCTGTTGATGACTGCATATAAAAATTATATGAAACTGCCAGCCAACAAACCCTCGTTTATGCTGTGATATATGTGTTCCGAAGCAGTAGACTCCGGTACGTATACCCGTGTCGCGGTATTCAGAAAGAATCGTTGAAAACACAACTTCCAACAAAAAGAAGAATTAGTAAAAATAAAAAAGTGCGTTAGGAAATTAAATTATAAATAATAATAAGGGTTATGAATAGTTCAAATTGGCTTAAATTTAACTATTTAAAAATTCAAACAAAATAGATTCCGTTGCAGAAAATGCAACGAATGGGACTCAACAAAAAACCGCAATGAGCAGAATCATAGACGGGTATTCTATTGAATTTTGACTTTCATCACTTTTTAGCGAGAAAAAACCGCAGTGAATCCTTATTCTATTATGCATTGCAAAACCAAGTGGACCTTTGTCAATTTACCCTTGACTTCGTCTTCGTTTACAGTTATTTGCTATAATTTTTCAATAGCAACCAAAGGCCAAAACAAACAAACAAAGACAATTAGCCAAACCAAATGGGAATCGGTAACCAAATCGTTATGTAAGACCGAATGCATTCAGAAAGGTGGATAAACAGAGAGAGATATATACATACATGTGTGTAGTAAGATATAGATTGGTGGGTGAGATTTCCTGAAATCAAATCTAGCAAATCAGACCAAAACCAAACACCAAAAACCAAACTAAAACCCATGTCTGTCTATGGCAAAATGCTAGTTGTCAACTGAAAACTAAAATTTTAAATGCTCTCCAGAGGCGGCAAAAATGAGAGGTGGGGTTTGGGCTCAGTATATTCCGTGGGCGGAAGAGGGAAATCTAGGCGGCGGAGCGTGCCATCAATATGGCAAACGACGACAAACGCAAACATAGAAACGACTGAGTGAATCGGCGATGGCAACAATTGCGGCGACGGCATTGAACAGAAGACAGCTAAATATCCCAGTGACACCCCCACACCCACCGCCTCCATCAACCACCCTTTACCTTTCATACACCATCTACAAAACACCCGCAAACCCCCCGCCGGAAACGGTAGGCTTTAAGATACAGATACACATATGCAGTGCGCGAAAATTCAAAAGCTTGATTTTTAATATTCAAAAGATAATAAGATAATGTTTGGGGCAATCGAAGTTTTTTACATTTAAAAAATAATATTATTCTTCTTCCCGCTTTACAAATAAAATTCCAGTAAAATTAAAAATTTCAGAAAATTCCTGAAAATACCAAAAATTATGGTTGATTTTTAACAGTGCTCTAGCTGGGTCGGCCTTGCTTCGCTTTGCTCTTAGCCAGGTCTAAACTGCTGCCTCAGTTGGCATCCAGTTGGTTGGGTGTACAATTACCTTAACGCATCGACAATTATACGAATGGTTGGCTGCTGCTGCCACTTGGGCCCAGGTCTTTGGCTTTAGCTTGGAGCAGAGCAGAGCAATCCGGCCAAGAAAGAAAAACGATGAGGAGAGTGTGGAGCTGTTTAAGCCAACTGTTTTTGTACCAGCCCATCAGGTGCGATATGCGATACGCAAGTGACGCGTCGACGGTCGAGGCGATTGCGCCACAAAACGGTTTCGACTGGATGCCCCAGAAGATTGCCTGCCCCAATCTTGAACTACAACAAGAAGACTATGAAGAACCAACACCCTCCAAAAAAAAAAAATGAATATTAGAACGTCCCCAAAACCGCAATATATGATACATGTATACGCAAATTTGACTTCAGGTAAAATCATAGTAATCAAATAAAAATTTAAAGGTTTAAACAGTAAATAAACAATATGATATGATATGCTTAACTATGAGATATACAAAAATATACACCAAGCACATAAATATTTTATAATTTCAAATTAATGTATTGTCTCATTTCGAATTAAGTTACATATAAGAATTGCCTTTATTATGTCTTCGAAAAAAAGGAGAAAACTTTATTGCCGTTTGTCCATTTTATTTCTGCGGGTACAGTGGAAAAAAAAATACCGCGGTTGCCATGGGCAATTCTCAACCACTGTGCGGCTTCCTCAAAACAACACTGATTAAATTGAGCCAGTCACTTGGGGCAATCCAAAAATGATTTCAGACAAGGAGTCGGAGTATACATATACATTTGTACCTTTATATATGTGTGCAGGATTAGAATAAATTGTATTGAAAACTTTTGCGCGTCCTCAACCGAAAAATATGCTTCATCTGATTACTTGGCAGTTACAGTTTTTAGAGAGAAGGGATGCAGGCAGGCTGTATTTACTTTTTAATTGGCAAAATTAATGCAATGCAATGAAACGAAGCATGCCGCGATGATATATGTACCATATATAGAATAAGTCTGTGGAAAAAAGGGATATGGTGATATAAGGTATATATGTCTGTGCATATGTATATTGAGACCTAAGGCAGTCAGATCGGAAATAAGATGATGGTGAGATGGTATCGTAACGTTTCGTATGAAACATATTCGACGGGGGATTTCGATTCGGATTGGGGTTGATTCGGTTTGGTTTGGGCGGGAAGCGAGATGCCAACGGCACTTTGTTGCTCTGTTGCTGTTTTGTAATTCTAAGAAATTCAATTTTCAACTTAAAAACCCCAACACACTTGCCGTCTCGCTCTCAACAAGTGATTAAATGAAAACCAACAACAAGAACAATAACCAAAACCAAAAGCAAAAGAACAAGACCAAACCGAGCGCATGCAAAAACAAAAACACCAACAGATATGCTATAAAAAAAAAAAGAAAGGAAAACAAAAGTAAATATTCCCGCAGAAGTTCGAAATTGCAAATACTCTTGTACATAAATATATCATTAATTAAAAAAAAAAACTTAACATGTTTTTAAATGAAAACACTAAATAGCTAATTTTTAAAAAGATTTAACAAAACGTTAATCTTGTTTTTTGGATTTGCACCCGAAAAGTTCTGGAAGTTTAATTATTTGGTTTTAAAAAAACCTTTAAACTCCTATTTTGGGAAATATAAAAATGTATATGCAAGATTTGATATTATTAATTGAAATATTCCTTACACATTATAAATAATAAATGGGCATTTTTAATTTTTTTCCAGAAAAATCCAAGCTTTTGATAAAATTCAAATTACCCTTTGTGAGATTCAGAAATAGCAAACAAAAAAAAAAAAGCAAAGACTCTGAAATGTTGTTGGCGGCGTCGCGGTTTTGATCCACTCACATAATAATAATGAAGATCATGACGATCTGGGACGACGTTTTGGCATTGGCATTGCCCTGCGATCTCCATCAGTCTGTCCCTCAGTCAGTTTGTCTGTCTGGCAGTCAGTCATTCAAGCAAGTCAGTCACACATATTGAAATAATTATTATCTGCATTTTGAGATCGGCACAGCGCGACTCCGGAGCATCGGCATCGACTTATATACTTCGACTCGGAAAGTTCGGAATTTGGCCCCACAGCCACGGCAAATTGGAGGCCATAAAAAATCAACGCATATTGCATACTGTCAATCCAACATCTCTGGCATATATACTGAGAAAAAAAAAGGAATGGGTTGGAAAAATAGCTATTATGGCGTAATTGAATTATTTTTTACAGGACCTTTTGCAGAATTAATCATTATCCTTTTAAATCCTAACTGTTTTTTCCTGACCAAACAATTGTATAAAAAAGTTGGAATATAAGTTGGATTTATTAATTTTAAATATTGAGCCTTTTTGTAAATATTTTTTGAAGTGTTTGTGGTAAAGAAAGTTGACTACGGACACAGGCCATTAGCCCCCTAGTAAGGAAACCACTCTCTACTTTTTTCGCTCCTTTCAAATATACCCCAAAAGGAAGTGATAATCCTTTGACAAAAGCAGTCGCTCTCCATCCCCATCGCTGTTCCCTTTCTTCTTCTTAAACCTGAGAGATTTCGCGCATTTCGAACGGCGCGTGAAGTGAACAAGAAAATGCGTGCAAAAATAAGGCGAGGCAACCCCTTGGCCCGTTCGGATATTCCCCAAAGAACCAAAAGAACTAAAGAACCAAAACCAAATGACAATACTCCCCCTTGTAATTCGACGTGTTTGCCTCAATTCGAGCATATGAAAATGGTTTATTTTGCTCGATTAAGTTGC